AGTAACCGGGTGTGGTGGCGGGCGCCGGTAGTCCCAGCTACTCGAGAGGCTGAGGCAGGAGAATCACTTGAACCTGGGAGGCGGAGCTTGCAGTGAGCTGAGATCAGGCCACTGCACTCCAGCCTGGGTGACGGAACGAGACTCCATCTCAAAAAAAAAAAAAGAAAAAAAAAAAATCCCACTACATATAGGTAAAACACCTGAACACACACCTCACTAAAGAAGATGCAAAGGTAGCAGATAAGCATATGAGAATATTCTCCACATCTTATGTCACCAGGGAAATGCAAATTAAAACAAAAATGGGATATCACTGCACAGCTGCTAGAATGGCCAACATCCAGAACACTGACAATAGCAAATGCCGAGGAGAATGTGGAGCACCCATTCATTGCTGGTGGGAATGCAAAACAGCATCGCCATTTTGGAAGACAGTTTGGCAGTTTCTTCCAAAACTCAACATACTCTTACCATATGATCCAGGAATTGCAATTTGTATCTTCCCAAATGAATTCAAAATTTATGTTTACACAAAAACCTACACAGCTTTTTTTTTTTTTTTAGGCAGAGTCTCACTCTGTTGCCCAGGCTGGAGTGCAGTGGCGTGATCTCAGTTGACTGCAACCTCCGCCTCCCGGGTTCAAGCGATTCTCCTGCCTCAGCCTCCCAAGTAGCTGGGATTACAGGCACCTGCCACCACAGTCGGTTAACTTTTTGTATTTTTAGTAGAGGTGGGGTTTCACCATATTAGCAATAGCCAGGCTGGTCTCGAACTCCTGACCTCAAGTGATCCGCCCGCCTCAGCCTCCCAAAGTGCTGGGATTACAGGTGTGAGCCACTGCGCCCGGCCAGAGTGGCTTTATACAGAATGATACATAATGCCAAAACTTGGAAGCAACCAAGATGTCCTTCGGTAGGCGAATAAATAAACAAACAGTCGTACATCCAGACACTGGAATATTATTCAGGGCTAAAAAGAAATGAGCTATCAAGCCATGAAAAGACGTGGAGGAAACTTAAATGCCATTACTGAGTGAGAGAAGCCAATCTGAAAAGGCTACATATTATATGATTCCAACTACATGACACTCTGGAAAAGGCAAAACAGAAAGTCAGTCATTGCTAGGGGTTGAGAGAGGAAGGAGCAATGAACAGGCAGAATGCAGAGGATTTTTAGGGCAGTAAAATGTCTCTAGTATACTATATGATAGTGGTGGAAACATGTTATTATGCATAGAATGTTTAACGCCAAGAGTGAACCCTCATGTAAACTGTAGACTTTGGGTCATAATGATGTGTCAATGTAAGGCTCATCAGTTGTAAAAAAAAATGTACCCTTTTGGTGGAGGAAGTTGATAATGGGGAGTCTATGCATGTAGGGTGAGGGGCTATATGGGAGATCTCTGTGCCTTCCTTCTTGATTTTGCCATGAACCTAAAACTGCTATTATATATATACTGCTATTCTTTATATATATATAACTGCTATTATATATTATATAGATATCATATATAACTGCTTATATATATATATGTCTTTAAAAGCAAAACAAACAAACAGAAATACTCCCAGAGAACTTTGTCTATAGACTTTCTTCTATTCATAAGTATTTTTACCTCCACTCCCATCTCATTCTATCTGTATCTTGCTATACTTAACCGGAGCTATACTGAATTTGCATTCGGTATGGACAAGTCTTAGTTCCTCTTTTAGCAGATCATCTTCACATTTCCATCAACATGCAGCACAGGAAGAAAAAAAGGAGCCAAGAACTGAATCTGTCTGGGGAACCTGGAAGCCCAAAGAGGAGTTCCATTTTGAGAAGGAGCCAGGCTAGAAGCTTAAACTCTGTACTTGGGGGTAGGGTTGCAACGCTGGCTCAGAGGGGAAGAAAGGGATCATCCTCAACCTTTCATACATCCAGACTCTGGGAGATGAGCAGGCTTAGCTCCCTGGCTGGGCTACCAGTGAAGGCAGGGAGAAGGGCAGAGGCTTGGAGGCCACAGCCACAGGCTGTAGAAGAAAAGGAGCAGCTCCAGGCATCCAGCTGGTGGAGGCCACCTGCTCTGAGTGCTGTGGGCCACTCTTCACAGCCAGCTGTGCTGCTGCTACCCATCCCAGTCTCACAGGTCCTGACCTGGAGACACATCTGCAACATTGATTATGGAGGCTCAAGTTAATGTTATTTTAGGCTGGTCTCGAACCCCTGACCTCCTGATCTGCCCGTGTCGGACTCCCAAAGTGCTGGGGTTACAGGCGTGAGCCACCTAGCCCGGCCCTGTTATGCTCTTTCTAATGAATACTAAAACTATAAAGATGGCCAGCCATGGTGGCTCACACCTGTAATCCCAGCACTTTGGGAAGCCGAGGCTTTTGGATCATTTGAGGTCAGGAGTGCGAGACTAGTCCGGCCAACATGGTGAAACTCTGTCTCTACTAAAAATACAAAAATTAGCCGGGTGTGGTGGTACATGCCTGTAACCCCAGCTACTTGGGAGGCTGAGAGGCAGGAGAATCACTTGAACCTGGGAGGCGGAGGTTGTAGTGAGCTGAGATCGTGCCACTACACTCCACCCTGGGCGACAGAGTGAGACTCCGTCTCAAAAAAAAAAAAACTGTAAAAATAAACATTACAATAAGAAGTTGTCAGTCATTGATAGTACCTTTACTGCCCATTGGTGATCATTGTACCACATTTTTGGGAAACATTGTTTTAACTAAAGAGTGTTATTGTTTTCTTTTTAGAGACAGGTTCTGGCTCTGCTGCCCAGCCTGGAGTGCAATGGCATGGTTGTAGATCACTGCAACCTGAACTCCTGGCTTCAAACAATCCTCCCACCTCAGCCTCCTGAGTAGCTGGGACTACAGGTGCACGCCACCATGCCCAGCTAATCACTTTTAAATTTTTAATAGAGATAGGGTCTTGCTATGTTTCCCAGACTGGTCTTTAGCTCTTGAGCTCAAGTGATCCTCCTGCCTCAGCCTCTGAAATGCTAGGATTACAGGCGTAGGCCACTGTGCCCAGCCAAAGGTGGACAAGAAATTGTAGAAAATAATGGATAACCTTCTGACCAAAGGAAAATGTGAGTAAGATACAAGAATCAAATAGCATATTGGAAGAGGCTGGATGACAAATGAAGAGAAAGGCACACTGACACCTTAGTTACCTGCTAGAGATAGACATTCATCAAGCCTAGCCAGTCATTTCCTTCTCCTTCCTCCCACCACCTCTTTCCTTCTGAACCTCTGGTTCAGATGCAAAGTCCTTAGTCTGTAACTCTAGATTGTTCAACCCATTAGCACATAAGAAACTTGCTCTTCTGAGAATAATAAGCAGCAACACCGTTTCCTTAACAACCAAGGATCTTATAGAGGCAAGAACTAGAAGTAAGAAGAAAACACACACCAGGGACAGAAGACATGGACTGGAGGTCTTGGGCCAATTAAGTGACCTTATTCCTATCTCAGAGCCTCTCCAACTCATGGCTTCCTTAACTCATTCATTTAGCAAATGTTTTCTAAAGCACTTAGTGTGTACCAAGAGTTGCCTCATGCACGAGGGCTGCAGCAGTGAATAAAACAGGGAGGCCCTGATCTCAGAGATCTTGTGTCCTAGTGAGAGTGACAGGCAATACATACTCAATAAATAAGCGATGTAACTTTAGGTGGTGAGCAGTGCTGTGAAATAAATTAAACAAATGATAAAGACAAACTGGGGAGGAGGCATCCTGTAAAGAGGTTGGTCAGAGGAGGTCTCCCTGGGGAAGTAGCATTTGAGCTGAGACCTGAATGTACTAGGAAGGGCCAGTCAGGAGATAAGCCAGGGAAAGAAGGTTCCAGACAGAGGGACCAGCAAGCCTCGCGGTGGGACCGCTGTCGGGGCTGGCTGCCAATCCAGGAGAACAACACTGGGTATGCAGTTGTACTTGGTGAATGGTTTTGATACAGCACACCAAGCAGTCCTGCGAGTTCCCTCGTGGTGCCTCAATGGTGGAGGGGCCAAGGACGGAGACTCTGCCAGACTCACGCCAACCTGCCCAAAACACACACAGAGAACGAGAGAGAGAGAGAGAGAGAGAGAGAGAGAGAGAGACGCATGCACATACTCTGCTTCAACAAAACAGCTCTTCTTTAATCTGAAGTCTATATTGGGTGGCTGCCTAAGATTTTGTTCGAGGACCAGGTTCAAGGATCAGAAATTCTTGATCTCAAAAGTCCTTTTCCACACTTTGTTTGATTCTCTGAAATGTTACACAGTGGTTACAGCAGTGGTCATAGAAGGGTTGATTCTATTCTACCTGTTGACAGGGAGTCGGAGTACAGCTCCCAGCAATCTGGCTCTCCTCTCACCGTAACATCCCACCCCTTTCCCCTCCAGTGGTGGACTGGAACCTCCGATGCCTTCCAAGCCCATTCCAGCTAGAGAGGGACACACATCTCTGCCTCTTCCTAGGAGATTAGACTGATTTCCTTTCCTTGCAACTGTCCGAATGAGACGCTTTCTGTCCCACACAGTAGAGCTTTGTGATGATAGCCGAGAAACGGCTCAAGTTTTTTCCAACCTGTAAAATGCCAAGTTGGCCAGCTGCCTCTCTTCCTAGCCTCAAAACTCGTATCTTTCCTGTCTCCAAAGAACTGCCCGGCAGCTCGGAGGGGAAGTGTCTGCTGTCCTGGGGCTTGGGGAAAGCACTGCTCAGAATGTGAAATCATTTTCTGGTAATACGGAGCTAATTAGCTTTTTGACTGACGAGGAAGCAGAGGCCAAAAGGGATTTAACCAATCTGTTTTTCAGATATTTCAAAACAAGTGAAGAACCAGACAGGGAAATGGAGAGAAAGAGAAAATAAAGAGACAAAGTCTAGGGAGCGTTTGGAGACGGGGGTGAGTGAGAAAGAGAACGGGGAGGGAGACTATCAAGTGGCTAAAGTATCAACCCTCTGTTCTTCCAGCTTCACCTCTACTCCCGATTTCCCCTCGGCTCTCTTCCAGAGAGAACTTACTTGAAGGTTGATGACTTCTCTTTCTGATTCCATCTCGCTGTCCTCAAGTCCCTTCACACGCACCGGGTGCCGGGAACGGACTGCGTGGGCTCCTCCAGGCTCTGCCGTCTGAGTCTCTGCGGCTTTCGGATAGGAGAGAGCACACAGCTGGCGGGACAGACCTGCCATTCATCCCTCTGATGTGGGATGCCCGTCTTGGCTGCAGCCCCTGGGGGAGGTGTACACAGGCACACGCGCGTGTGTGTGTGTGTGCACATGTGTGTGCTGCAGGAGGTGGCACCTGGCACACTGAGAGGTGGCCTTCTGGGTTGGTAGTGACAGCATGATTTTCACCAGTGGCTCCAGTGACCTTCCGGTCCCAGCGGAGCCCTCTGAAGTCACCAGCCTGCTTTGAGCTAGGAGCTTTACGGCTGGCAAAGAAACCCTGAGTATTTATCAAGGAAATGGAAAAACAGCCTGAGGACAACACTATCTGACTTCACCGCTGAGTGGGGTCCCCAGTCCCCACGGGTGGGGTGACTTCACTGCTGAGTGGGGTCCCCAGTCCCCACGGGTGGGGTGACCTCCAGCAAGTCTCAATACTGAGGCATTGGGATTTCCGTTGTTCTTTGCTTCGTTCCCTATATCCCTGAAAGTTTTTAAAAAAATTGTAGTTTACCTAATAGGCTCCAAAGCATAGGCTGTATTCTACAAAGTGAGTAAACAATATGTTTTTATTGACAAATTGTTTGATTCCTTCAACTCCTCCCTTGATTAGCCATAGAGGGAGCAGGGAGAAGGTGTACCTTCGAAGCCCGTTTATGCAAGTAGCAGTATTCTCCCTGCTTTTAAAATAAACTTACCAGGGGCGAGTCTTTTTTTAGAAAGTTTCTTTTTTTTCTCTCCTGTTTACCTTAGAACCCAAAACTCTTCTGGTTTGTTCCTGAAGCAAGGTTTAGACACAAGCTTGTGCACGTGTGGGTGTGGGGATGTCCGTAGATGTGCGTGGCAGAGTGTTAACCTGTAATCCAATTCGGGGCTTAAAGAGGTGCGGGCGGGAGGAAGACAAGCAGAGTCACACGTTTACTCTCACCACATTCAAATGTTAAAAAAAAAAAAAGTGATTTCTTCAGTTCTATGAAATGCCTTTATAAGTTCCCATCCCTCTGGACAGTGGTGCGAGGGAGGGTTGGACAATTGGATGGGGGTCATATTTTAGTCTAATCTATGAAGCATAGTTGGATTTATTCATTTAAATGGTAAACAGTCCACTTTAGACACGTGCTCAGTCTTTCGGATTTGCAGAAGTTGGCATCTAGTTGCATGGGACGAGTGGGCTGTGGACGGTTCTTGGATCTATCCTGTGGCCTCTCCATCTCTGCTCGTTTCTGTCCTGGAGCTGCTGGGCCCATGGGCCTGCCCGAGTTGCTGACTGCTAAGGAGACACAGGTCCTCCTCCAGGGTCTCCTGCTGGCACTGGTGGCTGATGTCTGATACTGGGCTAGAGTCACTCATGGGCGATTCTCTTTCTGCTTTTGAGATCCAGTGGTCTCCCTTGCTGTCTGCGCTACCTTGGCTCGTGGCAATGCGGACCGTCCTGAGACCTGGCTTTGACTTGTATGCGCCCCCATCCCACTACAGCAGCTCAGTGGCCCCCATCTCTAAGATAAGCCCCTCGAAATTTTCCTGCGAGATGCTTGACCAGTGCTCCTGAGCCCCTTTGGACACATGGGAACGGACGGCTGCTGACGAAGGGCTGGAGAAAGGCAAGCTCAGCCCGACTTCCAGCCGAGTTTGCTCTGATGTGGCTGCCCCAGTTGGCACAGGGCAGCCTGTGGGGTGATCTCCTTCCACATTCCCAAATGAGAATGAGAACCTACTCTTCTCAGCACTCCTTAAAACGTCTCCCAGTAATATCTATCACCTCACCCCTCATAATAATACCACCATGTAACAAGCACTATTCTAAGCACTTTTTTTTTTTTTGAGATGGAGTCTTGCTCTGTTGCCCAGGCTGGTGTGCAGTGGTGCCATCTCGGCTCACTGCAGCCTCCACCTCCTGGGTTCAAGTGATTCTTCTGCCTCAGCCTCCTGAGTAGCTGAGATTACAGGCGTGTGCCACTATGCTCGGCTAATTTTTATATTTTTAGTAGAGATGGGGTTTCACCATGTTGGCCAGGCTGATCTCAAACTCCTGACCACAGGTGATCCACCCGCCTCGGCCTCCCACAGTGCTGGGATTACAGGCGTGAGCCACCGCGCCGGGCCTATTCTGAGCACTTTAACGTATACTCACCTTATGGAGTTTTCATAACAGTTCTGGGAAGTTGGTAATGTTATTATCGCTGTTTTACAGGTGAGGAAACAGAGGCACAAAGAGGTTACGTAGTTGCCCAAAGTTGAACCGAGGTTTAAACCCGGGAAATCTAGTTTCAGAGTCCATCTTCTTATCCATGACTTTGGCTCAGAGAGGAACAACTGAACCATTATGTCTGAATACCTCCTTTCTCTTCCACGACTTTACTTCTTCCCATAGTCCCCCTAATCCAGGATCAGAAAAGGTATGCTGTGTCTTCTTTTTCTTTTCTCCTGTTTGGCTGGGATATATCTGATGTAGAATTCAATGACAACAATTCAAAGGGAAATGAAGAAATTTAGAAAATCCTCTCTCTTAACAAAACCTGGTTGTCAAAAATATTGTCTTGGCTGGGCAATGTGGCTCACACCCGTAATCCCAGCATTTCGGGAAGCCAAAGCAGAAGGATCTCGGCCGGGCGCGGTGGCTCAAGCCTGTAATCCCAGCACTTTGGGAGGCCGAGACGGGCGGATCACAAGGTCAGGAGTTCGAGACCATCCTGGCTAACACGGTGAAACCCCGTCTCTACTAAAAAATACAAAAAACTAGCTGGGCGAGGTGGTGGGCGCCTGTAGTCCCGGCTACTCTGGAGGCTGAGGCAGGAGAATGGCGTAAAAACCCAGGAGGCGGAGCTTGCAGTGAGCTGAGATCCGGCCACTGCACTCCACCCTGGGCGACATAGCGAGACTCCGTCTCAAAAAAAAAAAAAAAAAAAAAAAAAAAAGAAGGATCTCTTGAGCCCAGGAGTTCAAGACCAGCTTGAGCAACATCGTGAGATCCCATCTGTACAAGAAATTTTTGGCTGGGCCTGGTGGCTCATGCCTGTAATCCCAGCATTGTGGGAAGTAGAGGCAGGAGGTCACTTGAGCCTAGGGGTTTGAGACCAGCCTGGGAAACACAGTGAGATCCTGTCTCTACAAAAAAAATTTTTTTAAATTTAGCTACACGTGGCAGCTTGCAGCACCTGTAGTCCCAGGTACTCGGGAGGCTGAGGTGGGAGAATTGCTTGAGCCTGGGAGCTCAAGGCTGCAGTGAGCTATGATCATGACACTGCACTCCAGCCTGAGGTGATGGAGCAAGACCATGTCTTTAAAAAAAAAAAAAAATCTTGCCGGAAAACCTTATTTTGGATGCCAGAAGCAACATATTAACTATTTCTTTCTCTTTGCACTCCTGTTGTGAAAATCCTCGTTATCTTTTAGATAATATGGATACATCTGGCTGAATAGAGGGAAACAGGAACAAAAAAAATGCAAAAGAGAAAAGGACTTGAATATATTTCAAAAAATTTCCTATTAATAAGCACATTAGTTTGAAAAGGAAACAGCTGTAATTGGTTATAATAATGGTTTTGGTTTGGCAAGATCTTTCTGGATTTGGACCTTTCCCCATCTCACAAGCATCGTTTGGAAGTAAACAGAAAAAAGGCTTTGGAAAACGGTTTATCTACCGTATCTACCACCTGTAACCTTGGACCAGTGGTCAGCAAAATTTTTCTTTTTCATTTTACTTTTTTATAAAATTCAAATTGCTATATGAAGCTTTTTCATTTTAAGTTTTGTTTTTTGAGACAGGGTCTCACTCTGTCACCCAGGCTGGTGTGCAGTGGCTCAATCTCTGCTCACTGCAACCTCCACCTCCTGGGCTTAAGTGATCCTCCCATCTCAGGCCCCAACCTCCAGCCCAGTAGCTGGGATTACAGGCACGTGCCACCATGCCTGGCTAATTTCAGTATTTTTTGTAGAGACGGAGGTTTCGCCATGTTGCCCAGGCTGGTCTCGAACTCCTGAGCTCAAGCGATCCGCTCGCCTCGATCTCTCAAAGTGCTGGAATTACAGGTGTGAGTCACTGTGCCCAGCGAGCAAACTTTTTCTGTAAAGGGCCAGAGAGCCAATATTTTTTAGCCTTTGTGAGTCATATGATTTCTGCTGCAATTACTCAATTCTATAATAATGTGAAAGCAGTCATAGACAACATGTAAATGAATGAGTGTGGGAGTGTTCCAATAAAACTTTATTTACAGAAAGAATCAGATATAAAAACAGACCAGAGTTGGTTCCACAGGTTGTAGTCTGCTGACCGCTGCTCTAGAATTTGATCAGAGTCTTTGAAGTCTAACTCCCACTTGAGAGGCAACTGCTGAGTCTCTACCACATCGATATTGGGTTAAACGCTGTGGGGATATAAAAGCACCACATGCATGCCCTGGTGAGACACTCGATGGCAAGGGAAGTTGTAGGGGAGAGAGTTGCTGACATTTGGCTGGTACTGAAACTGCACCTACGCGGAGGCTATCACTGGATGGAAACGGTTTCTATTTTTCTGTACTGTCAGGGTGATTTTTGTGGTGTAAAGCCAGAGGGACATTTTTAGGGAGACTGTCTCTTGGAAAGTATATTTTAGAATATCCTTGAACTTACAGATAAGTAGACATTCAGAGTGACTCAGAAACGACTCCAAGTCTAGTTCCATGGAATGAGGGGCCTACAATGAGGCCCTCGGGATCTTGCTTCGTGGAAGGAGCAAAGCATTGTTGCAGGGTACTCGAGAAGGCAGCAGTAAGAAGATCCTTTAATTTTGAATTGTGGGAAAAGCTCTAGGGTGAAAGCCAAGTGGCCTGGATTCCTCTCTGTGTGCTGAGTCACTGTGTTTTTCGGCAAGTCACTTAACTTCTCTGGGGTTTACATTCTTCTTTGTGAATGTGAAGCTATCAAAAGAGTTGATTCCTAAGATTCTTTCCAGCTCTTAAATTCTGTTTCTAATGTGTGTTTTGGCCAGGTGTGGTAGCTTACACTTGTAATCCAGCACTGAGGCAGGCAGATCACCTGGGGTCAGGAGTTTGAGACCAGCCTGGTCAACATGGTGAAACCCCATCTCTACTAAAAATACAAAAATTAGCTGGGCGTGGTGGTACGTGCCTGTCATCCCAGCTACTTGGGAGGCTGAGGCACACGAGAATGGCTTGAACCCTGGAGGTGGAGGTTGCAGTGAGCCGAGATGGCACCACTGCACTCCAGCCTGGGTGACAGCGAGACTCTGTCTAAAAAAAAAAAAAAAGTTTCTATTAAATACTTCCTGTGTAACAGTATAATATCTCAGATACAG